ATATAGGCCTATATTGCGCGACTGGACACAATGTTTCACGAGATTTAACTTTAAAATGCACCTTATTATTTTTTTGGAGAATGTTGAAAATGGCTTTAAACAACAGTTTTCAATCTACTAAGCTTCAATTTGTCTTATTTTTAACAAACAAACAACCCTTATTCACATCTGTCTGGTAGCAGCCTATTTGTTCACTTTTAAAATTCCATATCATTCAAAAACTCCCAAGATCTAATGAAAATTTAACAAAAAATCCAAAGATACCAAGGTGCCATTAAAAATCCCAAGATCTTGGGATAAATCCCAAGCAGAGGTCACATTGTCCATCGGTGTTTTGGGAGAAAATGGCTTAAAATAACGAGCTTCTCATATACTGAAAGGCAAGTATTATAAAGGGGGTGCTATATGCTTAGAAAGAAAATTACATTCAGCGTTAAGATGCGATATTTTGCTGACCTATCTTAAAATGGACAATTCCGTTGTCCTTTTCAGAGAGTGCTGTGCGCATCAATATCTGCGACTACGTTGTTCGTTTCTGTGAGTAGTTTGTTTGTTTCTGTGAGTGTCTTTTGTTGTCTGTTTTTGCTAATACGTTGTACGTTTCTGTGAAAGTCTAACTTTGTCCTTTACAGCGTGTACGTTGTAGGTTTCTGCGAGTAGGCTGTTCATTTCTGCGAGTAGGAGAGTAGGTTGTTCGTTTGTAACTGTATTTTTGGCGGTGATTGCCTTCCATACATTTCAGCCCTCTAGCTGAAAACACAAGAAAAGCAGTGATGGGAATTGAACCGAGGTGGATGTAAAGATCTCAACGTCACACAGCAGGGAGGTATAACAATTTTTATACCTCCCTGCACACACAGTAACTACCACCATGTTTTGACTGACCCAATTAGGGCAAATGTATTATGTTTAACATACTTTTAAAAATACATGCAAATTAGCAAGGAATGTATTTAATTTGTTCTAATGTTCAATTTAAACAAACCAAGCAATTCAATTACTACATTTTATTGCTCAAGATTAATAGTCCAACACAGAAAAGGCCTGAAATAACTGATCTTAAACTTTTGTGTTCTTACAATACAAGTTACAAGATATATACTCATTGGTCATTGTGCACAACTTGATTCACATGAAATTTGGTTTCCAGATGCATCATTATTTAATATCACTTTATTGCAAACAACAATAAGGAAACGTAATACAATCCTAGATCATGGCCCAGATGAGGCACACGCAAGGAGAAACGGAGAACAACAATGAGAAAAGTACAAAAATCGGTAATTTAAAAATATACCTATAAGAAATTATAACAATCCTATTTTAGTCAGTTATAAAATATGGAGGATTAATCCAGGATGGTTCGTTTTTCGCATAATATATACTAAAGGAAGAGATTATGGTAAGTTTAGAAATATTGTCACAGAATTTTTTTAAATTAATTGGGTTATTGCACATTTTAAAAATTGTTTTAATTGTTTTTATATTGCGGGGAGAAATACATCCACGAGAACCCACCTCAAAGCAAATCAGTTGGACATAATAGCCGGAGTCAAATGTTTGTAAAACAAATAAAATCCTAAACTAAAATACATAAATCAAAAACATATTGCAAACGACGGAACTTTATCTACTATACTTGAAGGCTAAGTCAAACTACAAGCATATTACTATACACTATAGTCAGTTACTTTATCCATGCTGTTACCTTTTCCTAATGTCAAAAACAATTTCTTTGGTCTTATTTTGGGTTTAATTTAGAAACAAATGAAATCTTAAACTACAACACATAAATCAAAAATATATTGCAAATGATGGAACCTATACTATTGTACATGAAGGCTAAGTAAAACGTCAAGCATATAAAACTACACTATAGTCAGTTACTGTATCCATGCTGTTACCTTTTCCTAATGTCGAAAACAACTTCTTTGGTCTTATTTTGGGTTTAATTTAATAAAGTTTTGAGTACACCAAGTTTGGAATTTCTTAACACATTGTCATATACAATCAGCATTCTTTATAAAACCAGTAATTGTGGTATCATCTGCATATCGAATTACATAGCAATATAAATCTTTAAAAAAGTTAGCGTTCAGGAGAATATTATAAGTGAAAGCACACAGCCTTGTGGAGCGCCAGTTGGTGTGTAGAGTACCAGAGGAAATGTTGGCTGTGTTGACTGTCAGAGATCCATTAGATAAGAAATTGCCAATCCAAAGCGATAGATGTGGATTGATGTTCAGATTAAGGAGCTTATTAAGGAGAGTGTTGAAAGCAGAACAGAAGTCAAAATAATAAAGGTGCAGACGCAAGACTTAAGCTTGTCAAGGTGTGAATAAACTTTAAGAAGCAATGCGATGAGAGTCACTTACTCCCCTGTTTTACGATATGCAAATTGAAGATGGTCAAGTAACTTAGAACAATCCTTAATCATTAAGTTCTGCTAGGTTTTCTTTTTTTTTTTTTGATTGAGTTTGGTGAAGTGAAAATATGAGAAATAGTACTGTACATGCTTTAATTGGTGGTGAGGAGAGACCCTCTGGACCTGCAGATTTTCCTTTCTTAAGTTTGCTATAAAAGCTGCTCTAACATCATTTTCATAAATCCTGATATTATCTATTTGATTTCAATTACATTTTTAATAAATTATTTACATTAGACATTTCATTACTAAAATCAATTTTTGTTTAGATAACCTTCAATTACATTTTAATAAATTATTTACATTAGACATTTCATTACTAAAATCAATTTTTGTTTAGATAACCTTTGTGGTTATTTTCTGTAGTAATTTAAATAATGATGAAAATCTTTATTAATAATTTTTAAAAGTCAAACATTCATCAAAACTAAAACTATTTTACCACTACCACCAAAAAGTATTTTATATAAAGTTTAAAATTATGTGATTTTTTTTTCATTCAGTCTTTTTTCTCATTCAGTCACATTTTGAAGATTGCTCCAGTATTGCATCCCCCCGCCCCCGTCGGGAGAAGCCGTAAAAACTCTCCCGGTAAAACCCTACCAGGGATTTTATATTACAGGACTGACTGAGGTTCTCGTCGGCCCCTTGGTTCAGGACCCTACGGTCAGCAAATTTCTGTATCAACCGCAGAATTGTTCAGAGACATAATTTTGTAACAAACTGTAGTCAAAATATTTCCCACACAATTTGGTAATACTGTACATATATCAGCGAAATTTGTTAGGAAAGGAATCAGTTTATTGCAGTTAATAGTGAATCTGAAAAAGTGGATCTTCATTTTTTCCCTGAGAATACATGATTTCAGGTCGTCCACACCAACCTTTTCACTCTGGCATGAGCTGGCAGTGTGTACTCATATTGACCTTTATTTTATCAGGCAGTGCTTTATAAAACGACATTTTCACAGTGTTAGTGCACGTACTGTAGTTGGTATACATAATGTTACCATATTGTAAGTACTGTAGATGGAAAATATTTGTAAGAGGGCCAAGGGCTACAAAGGTCAAAAATAGTAAACATAATACTTTATATAGGCATTACATTTAAGCCTGAAATTTTGGTCCTTAAAGTGTGAGAGCACGAGACAGACCCCATGTGTGAGACTTGGTAGGTGTTATGTTTCCAGAACCTTCTGGCGTGGAATTACTTAGAATAATCTTAGCTTAAGCTGGGCACATACTGCACCAACATATCAGTCGGGCACCAACATATCAGCCGTTCAAGTTCGAATGGGGCGAATACAGAAAAGCCGGGCTTACACTGCACTCCTCCGGCTATGCTTGTATCTAATGAAATATATTAATTGTTGTCTCGTGGCACTTCCTCAAGTCCATATCACAACAGCCAATGGAATGTCTTGATTCGGTTGGCTTGAAATAGTCTAAACCACGCCCAATCTTAACAGTCCATCCATTATCTAACCTATAAAAAAAAACACACATTCAATTTATTGATATTTAGAAAAAAAATAACCATGAGGCATAAACTAAATTAAATATTTTATTTAGTAGTTCCTTAAAGTTAAAAGAAAATTAATTATTATTAAATAAATATTCGTTCTCGTGCGAAACCTCTCTATTGGTGATGGACCGTTCACTCCCGAAGAGTACCAGAGCCAAAGCCTCAATTAAGCAAGGCAAGAGTGCTGGACCAGAAAACATTCCTTCTCAAGTTTTGAAGTCCTGTTACCTTGATGACAGCATTCTGGGATTGTGCAATAGCACCCTTATCAACAATGAAAAAACCAAGCAAGTGGTCACTTTCACACATAATACCTGCTCCTAAAGCTGGTAATCTTTCTAACTGACAACTATCGTAGAATCAGTGAGTAGAATCATTTACACTAGACACGATTACAACACAACGACATATCATCGAGTAGTTTGTATTATGTTGTCCTGTCGTAATCGTGTCTAGTGTAAATCAGGCTTTACCTGTATCATCACAAATCTCTGCAATTGTATGATTGTGAATCGCCTGAAAGACTGGATTGGATTGGATTGGATTTATTCGGTGTAAACACCAAGGATAGCCCACGAAAGTCTAGAAGAAGACTTATTTCCAGTGGGGTCCTTCTGGTGGTGATTGTGCCGTACACCGGGAGACAATCCCCTACACTTTTCCGAAGAGTGTACTGCGTTCTTTAACGTGCACATGGGCCATAATGCACACGGGACCAACGGCTTAAACATCTTATCCGAAAGACGGTGCGCTATTGTAACTTGTATTTCAGCCCTCTAGCTGAAACACAAGGAGAGGCAACAATGGGAATTGAACCGGGGACCTAGAGATCTCCACGGTTCAGCGCACACACAGCGGCTACCACCAGATTAGCCGCCTGAGCTAAGCTGCTCTCCAATTTTGAAAGAAATTCTGTATCCTTTAAGAATCCATCATCATGGCCCGATGTATGGAATCAAATGCTTCTGAAAGTCACCATCAATCTCAAGCTCAGAACTAAGCAAAACAGGTTTCGGCCAGAGAGAATAACCGTGACTTAGATATTAGCTGTCCAGTGTATCATCGAAGAAGCAAGGTAAAACAATTCTCCCTGCTGTATTGAAATCGACTTTCAGAAAGCATTTGATTCCATACATCGGGCCATGATGATGGATTCTTAAAGGATACGGTATTTCTTTCAAAATTTCTCTGTGCCATCGAATCCACATACGCTAACACTAGCGCTAAAGTGGAACATCTGAGTACTGGAAGGTGACACTCCTGCACCTTTCCTAATCATCATCTCAACCTGCAACTACCTTGTTCGTCTTCTTCATGACCTGTGCTCTGCAGCTGACAAAAGTCGCAATGTTGTCACGATCGTACTCATGGACTTCAATAAAGCGTTTGATCTTATCGAACACAATATCTTAATTAACAAAATCATCAATATTGGAGTCCGTGGGTCGACTATCCCATGGATTTGTGACTTTCTCAGCTGCAGAGAACAATGTGTCAAGTATAACAACACTTTATCTAAGTTTATATCTCTTAAGGGTGGTATACCTCAAGGCACAAAACTTGGACCACTTGGTTTCCCAATTTTAGTAAATGATGCAGGGCAGAGCACATACTAAATATCTGAAATACAATGATGATTTAACTTTTTATGAAAATAGATCCATTAGCCAACAAGGCATTTTACAATATGATCTCAATGTATTTTACGATTGGTATGCTAAAAACTCTCTACAACTCAACCCTAAAAATTGTCAAGCACTACAGGTCTGCTTTGCAAAAAACCCACCAATTATACAACTTTGCTTTGATGGCAAATCGATTACTGTGGTTGATAAAACTGTAATATTAGGCGTTACAAATGGAATGACCAAGTTAACAATAGTGTTACTAAAGGCCAACAGGAAACTGTTTATGCTCCAAAATCTTAAAAAGTTTGGATTTGATAACTCTGTACAGTCTATAAAGGATACATTAGACCAATATTAGAATAATGCTGATGTTGTGTGGCACCCAGGTCATCACTCAAGATTTAAGTAACACCATTGAAGTGATACAGAAAAGAGCATGCCATATTATCCTAGGCAGAAATTTCAACTCTTACGAACATGCTCTGGGCCTTTGTAAACTCGATCTGCTCTCTGAAAGGAGGGTGGCACACTGTATCAAATTCGGAAAGAGTCTCACTTCAACATCACATTCTTTTGATCTTGTACCATGCACTCGATACCACAGCCACAATAAAAACCTCCGCAATGGTAACAAAATCACGCAATTTAGCACAAAAACCAATAAATTTTTTAATAGCCCAATCCCTTATTATATCCGATTACTCAATGATATATAATTTATACAGTAATATTACCTTTGATGATTTGAGTGTGCCACCCTCCTTCTCGATTGGTGCTACTAATTTTCGGTTCAATTTGCAGATTTTTCCTTTGTGTTTTGATATTTTTATATCTGCATTTTTTATATATTGCCGTTTGTTATATACAAGCAATTTGGCTCATTGGGCCACCATTTCTAATACTGGCATGTGTTTTATCAATACAATAAATAAAGTGAAAGTGGGTATCCTTGGTTACACCAAATAAATTCAATTCAATCTAATCCACTCCAACCGTGATGGGTGCAGACCCTTGTCAGGAAAATTCGACCCTTGGAGGACCCTTCGTGGGGAAATCTCTGGCACCGCCACTGACCACCCTGGCATTTCAATGATCATTCCCACTAACGTCAACCTACATACCTTATTGCTCTATCATGTAATGTTGATGAATAACGTACAATTAAATTCACACGATATTGCGTTAAACTTCCTTTCAATTCTTCTAAAGCACTCTTTTGCTGATCCACACATTTCTATAAAATATAACGGAAAATAAAAGAAAATTTAAAAAAAATAATATTTAAGCAATTATATTCAGGCTTTTAGTACACTATGGGCAATAGAAGACAAAGGAGCCATTATTTCCTGAAAAAACAAAATGTTGAAGGAAATAGAGTAATGACTCCTAAGGCCTATTTCAGTGTACCAAATTACTTGACTATACAATTACATCACTTTTTCTATGGCCCTAATCAAACTGCTGGTTGTAGAGCGGTTGCTATATACTGTAAATCAAACTTCTTTTGGTTGCCGTTTTATAACAAGGTATACATTTTGAATGATTCATAGATTCATGAGCAGGGGCGGATTTAGTGGAGGACCGCCCCAGCCACCCCCCCCCCCCTTTTCAGAGGTTAAAAAAGAAAAAATAAAGAAAAAAAGAAAGAAAAAGAAAAAACGATAGCCCAGAACGCCTCAAATGTTATTTTCGGGTGTCTAAGACGCAGAAATTTTGCGGGCGCATGCCCCCAAACCTCTTATTTCGGTGTTGTCTCGATCGGCCCAAATTTCGGGCCCGCCTTTCAGTCCCTCCTTTTGGACATCTCTGGATCCACCCCTGATGAGTCTAAGTTTGATTTGATTTACATTTCCATTCAGATTAAAAAAAGTGTTTTGAGAGCGGTCTCACCACATCCCTCGCTGACTATAAGGTGATCTCTGTTGATTTCGAGGTAAATATAAATATTAAATACTGTCCCAAAGTCATTTTGTTGCAATTTCTGTAATATTTAAATTATTGGACAAACTTAAATCGCTGAATTGTAAAATAAAATGTTTCTTTTGACTATGATGGCCAATGAGTCAGAAAAATGTTGTTTGTATGACTCTCTAGTCTAGTGCCTGTCTCTTATACACATCTAGATGTGTATAAGAGACAGGAACTAAGCAAAACAGTTTTCGGCCAGAGACCCAGACCTCTTATTTTGGTGTTGTCTCGATCGGCCCAAATTTCGGGCCCCCCTTTCAGTCCCCCCTTTTGGACATCTCTGGATCCACCCCTGATGAGTCTAAGTTTGATTTGATTTACATTTCCATTCAGATTTAAAAAAGTGTTTTGAGAGCGGTCTCACCACATCCCTCGCTGACTATAAGGTGATCTCTGTTGATTTAGAGGTAAATATAAATATTAAATACTGTCCCAAAGTCATTTTGTTGCAATTTCTGTAATATTTAAATTATTGGACAAACTTAAATCGCTGAATTGTAAAATAAAATGTTTCTTTTGACTATGATGGCCAATGAGTCAGAAAAATGTTGTTTGTATGACTCTCTAGTCTAGTGCTATAGGCCTGTGTTCACGCGATGAGGCTATGCAAACATCAGTTTATTTCACTCCATTTCAAATCTAACCATCAAAATATTGACGTTTATACAGAAATATTTACCAAGGCTTTTCGATAAGTTATTTTATGATGAAATGTACAAGTAAATAAATTTGAGGAGTTTTTAAAAATGTCGAAATTTATTAGAGCGGAGGCTTATTATTGTGTGAAGAAAATGCCACATAGTGGTTTGTTTTGATTTTATACCCACCTTAGAACTCAGCCCCACCATGGTTTTGGCTGAGGTAAAAAAATTTATGATTCGTAAAGCATATACAGGTCATAATAAAATACAAAAAGAATAAAATCGTTCATAGTCGAAATTGTGCACTTTTGAGTTAGTAAAAATATTGGCCTAAAAGCGCTTCCAATTTTAACAACGTAGCCTCTGACAACCGTTGCACCCATAAAATCAATGGAGTTGTTAGTGAGATGGGTACGAAATGTACCAACAACTGCGTTTTTACTTGGTTTTGGTCCAGAAACATGCACTGCACTTGGAAAAGAGCACAAGTGAACACACAAAATTCATGACAGTCATGCATAATTGTTGTTTCCCCTCGACTTGAAAATTTTGATTTTTTAACTATAGAAGATTGGCAAAAAGTGGGGGGAATAACTGACTTGATGTCCCCCTACCTTGAAAAGTTGGGGATGTGTCCCCCGTCCCCCACCGATCGGCGCCCATGTATAAAGTCAATCACCCTGTTATCTCATAACAATGTCTTGCAAGATCTTGCCTAGGAAGATCTAAGCTTCATTCGTGTTAACCAGCGCAGTAGAGCAAGATTTGTTGGTTCGCTGTATGCATTCAAATCTTGGTCTACATGTAGCAACAAACTATTCATCGCGAATTAAAATCACCTAAGACGTCATAGATCCCTGTCACTATACCCAACAGCTCAACCTCTGGCAGAGTCCCTAAACCTAAGCAGCATAATATCATTACTTTTATTTTATTATTATTCTAAAATAAAAATCTTCCAAACCTCATCTTGGCCTGTTGTAAGAACTATTTTCTTCAGTGATGGGCACTTTTTAATGACAAGCTCACAAAACCGTACAAAGTTCAGAATCTGATGGTTAATCCTTACATAAGGGTCATCAACCTCGATACGATGGACACTCTTGTCCAGAAACCGGCCAAATACGTGCTTGTAGCTGTGACCTGTTGAATCGTCATTAATCTGAATCTCCTCATGAAATTTTTCAGCTTTTCCAGCTTTCCAGCAAATTTAAAAACAAAATAAAAGACTTGTTATCTTTACTTCACAATATCAGTATTATTTAACTATTTGAGTAGTATTGCCTTCTATCGACCGTATTCTTAAAACGAACTTTAGTCAAACTTGGAACTAGAACTTCATCAGTCCTAGTTAATTTTAAGTTGCTGTCTGTGGTTTTTTTAAATATTATTTTGTTATTTTTAATATTTGTGCATATATATTAAAAACTGTGAAAAATTAATGAAATAATACAGTAGTAATAATAATTTTTAATGCTCCAGTATCTGTATTTAACTTTCAAAAATAACAATAATAATAATAATGACAATAATAACATAATCGAAGGTATGGGGTTCAAATCTCACACTTATTATTATTTCTATTATTATTTTATTATTATTTGTGCATCTTAATATCTTTCATATTTTTTTAAATGTTTCATATATATGCACAAATAAAAAAATAGCAAAATTATTTAAAAAAAAGAATAAACTAAAAGTGAGATTTGAACCCCATACGTTCGATTATCTTTACACACAAAACATGCCCCTTTACCGCTCGGCCACATTTCACCTGATACATATAGCCAGTAACATTGTAACCCTGTAATACAACAACCAGTGGATACAAAGATATGACACGACAGCAGGGTGAGGGTTTGTTATCTCAGATTATCTTGTTTATGGTTGATTTGAGTTAGCAAATTTATAAAGTTATAGAGATATGGTCGGTTAAACACGCAAGGTATCACCAATTAGATAAAATTTCGTTAACATGTATCTCACTAATTATAAAGGCCTAGAGCAAACATTTTTTATTTCTGATCGGTTCTCATGGGTCTTAACCACACACTAAAATTTGAACAAAATCCGAGAGATTATTGCCAATTTTTATTTTAGTTGATTTAATAACAATAACAATAATAACAACAATAATAATTTTGGCTTATTATAATAGTGCATGATTTGACATGGAATTACCCATATTCAGACTACTGTTCTAACATACTGTAATTTAAATGTTCCTATATATTTGGCTACAGAGCATCATTTATCTGAATAATGATAATATTCTCAAAATATTGTGTTCTCTCCAAGTAAATAAGAATGTATTTTTACTTTTGGATGTGTTTTTGTTTACCTGTTTATGCACTGCTTTATGCAAACTACATAATATTTTTTTGATATACGATATAGTATTATAAATATTATCATTATTGTATCATCATTATTATTTTATTAATATTCATGTTGCATTTTGGTTACGTTACCTTTCTTTTGTTCTTCAACAGCTTTCTTTAATTTTTCTACTCTTGTCTCAAACTTTTCTATTTTTTCTCGTATTTCTGTCTTAACGGCATGATTTTTTTCTTCTGTTAAAATATTTGAAAACCAATGATATAATACAGAAGTAGAATTCAGGATCATTAATTATTTACGCCATGGCTAGAGATACGGTACCGTATTTCTACCTCAATTTGCTAAAGGTATGGCAAATGGCATTACATTACCATCACCCAATAAAAGCCAGAATGTGTGTGACGTCATCTTTCAAGACCGGCATTGCAGATCGCCCACCGTGTGAGATGGTGTGAGGTGAGAGCTGTGACTTGCGAAAGCACTTGGCTTAGCAATGGCGTTCCATATTACTTATTTGCATGGCGTCTCATAGTATACTTTTTCTCGGATTAGGGACTAGATAAACATTGAGGATTTCGCACAAAATCTTGGGGCCACATGTTATTATTAAAACGCTCCTGATTGGCTAACCACCTGGATAATTTAAGCACGCTATTGGTTACACCTTGCATAAATTCATGCTAAATGTGCTTCACCTCGGTCTGATCATTATTATTTTGAGAAAGATACGCCTACAGTATTGATTTTATCTCTCTCATCTTAGCAATCAGTATCAAATGTTTTTTTAAAAATAAATATATTACTCTTGCACAGTGGGTAAGTATGCAACTCAGTTTAAAAATGGATAACACTAGACAAAATAAATATTAACAATCTATTATTATTTGGTCATACATAAAACAAATACACAAAAAAGGAAAACATGATCAATCCATGTAATTATGATCTACATAGCTATCAGATTTATTTTGCAATATATTAATAATTATATCTAATCTGTAAAAAGAGGCTACACTGCATGAATAAACAATTTACTTATGAATACTGTTTATTATTACTTCACACACAATTAAAACTAAGCACTGAATTTGGATTAATATACACTGCTGTCATGGTATTTAAAAATGATTGTAGATATAATGATTCTATATTTCAAACTTTATTTCTTGATCATATAATGTTTTATCATATACATAATGATACATTTCAGTGCTTCAGCAAAAAAAAAAAATGGTTTTCACTGATTTACAGACATTTACTATAGAGGAAGGGTTATGAATAAATTATCATATGATTAAAATAAAAACAGTACTTGGTTTGGTCTACAGGATTTGGTGCTTCTCTACCAGGTGGCAAGTCTATCACTTTTCATTATCAAATCACCTTCCATGATTTGCAGAATATTTGTTTTCATCTAATTTGAATTACTGTGTATTATATATGCTGTATTGTCCAGTTCATTCAACTGACACACCTACTGTATATGCATTAGCATTTCAATGTCTATAGCAAAGAGATATATCCTTCATTGAAGTTAGTGGCGATCAGCTGATCAAGTACCCGGCCGACTGGACTATTCCCAGAATCGCCATTCCAAACACAGAACAGAATCTTCATTATTACGAGGTCTTGACTGCATCCAATTAAAGTTTAGGGACATTTTTTTCTTTATGTATAAGACCTGCAAAAAAAGCATAAATACTGTAAACATTAAACAATAATCTTTATCAATTTTAATCACAGTTATCAACAATAATTTACTTGTCTAAAAGGCATTTTTGAAAATATCGTATTTGATAAACCTCTAAAATAAAAACAAAATAGGCATTTTATAAATGTTATCGTACAGAAATTATAAAATAATACATTATTATTATTATGAAGAGCTTGTCCAAATATGTCCATATATCTATGTACCACTGAGTAGATTCAGAGCTTTTTCTGGATATCTGGCGCAATAAAATTCCGTCGACTGATTGATTGAAAACTGAAGAACAAGTACCCTCTACCAGAAGTTACAATAACGAGGGGGTGGTGGGTTATTTGATTAAATAAGTAAGGTGTATTACTGCACTAACAATCACATAAGCAATATTAAAAACTGTAATTTAAAAAATGACATCCAGAATTTTCCTAAATTCATTTGCCAAACAAAGGCCTCATTATTTTTTTTTTTATCTACATCACTATATTTTAATTTTAACAATAAATAAAAGTTAAAATCAAAGAATTCTAAGATTGACGCACCTTTACGTCAGAACAGGCACTGTCGGTACCATCATCATCTAGGCACAGTGCCAGTCTAACTCCTTTCCACCACCACCAGCAGTAGCAGATGGTGAGTGTGTACTGGTACATGTTTCGCCTACAACGTCGGCGGAGGGTTCTACTAAATACCACACGGACCACACAGATGCAAAAATGATAAAAATATTACCACATGAGAGTAGAACACTGCTTAATAATCAATAGAAAGCAACTTTTAGAACGATAATTGTCAAAATTCCGTTAAAAAATCGATGTATGTTGTTTTTGTTTTGTTGGGTTTTTTTTGTCGTGCCTCGGTAAGTAATGCGTTGACATTGTGAATCTATAACGTATTGACGTGTCAGCAGAAACGCATTCAGCCATGACATTCTTGAGTAGATATTTGATGAAATGTGTTATAATTTAAAATGTATTATAAATAAATATATTTTTGAATCTTGAATCTGTTTATTTATATTTTACTCATATCCTAATGGAATCTAATTCTTAACTTCAGATATATTGGTTGTCCTGAATCTATTTATTTATAATATATTTTACATTAATGCAATCTCCTTTAATCAATTGTTGTACACTGAAACATATTATTAAAAAAGCAACAATTAAAAAACCCACCTTTATTTCAATCTTATTTGCAAGAACTGTATATATTTTTTAAATTTTCCATTTTTGTAATATACATAATTTAAATAAATAAGGCCTATTACATTATAATAAATAATAATATGATAATAATTATGTGATAATGATAATAATAAATAGTACAATTTTGTATATTACTTATAACATAATAAAGTAGTAATTTTAACAACAAATACTATTAATTTTTCCTTCTTATTATTTACAATTTTAAAGTTCATTAGCCTTTATGTGGTGTGCCTTGAATATTTTAAAATAATAGTCTCTCCATGAAATATAACATACGTAGTGAGTGTAGTAGGCCTATTTAAAAGATCATGGTTTAACGCGTTTCTGCAGACGTCAATGTGTTAGAGATACTCAATGTCAACACACCCTTCTGTTAAAAAATAGTCAATTTTTACCATAATTCAGACAACTATCACTATAAAAGGTGGTTTTTATTTATTATCAAGCCGTTTTCTACTCTCGTGTGGCAATATTTTAATAAGTTTTGTATTCGTGTGTTCTTGTGTGATTCTGTGTGGTGTTGTGTGGTCCGTGTGGGATTTAGTAGGACTGCCAGCGGATATGAGGCTTCTCCTCAGTTAGTGATCACGTAATCCTGCCCCTGGCTGCCCTGTTGTACGCGAATCGATTGCATATATCTGTAATTTTTTTATATTTACTTCAACTTTTCCATCCGATTGGAAAATTGCAAAAGTAACCCCTCTATTTAAAGAGGGAGATAAAGCAGATGCAAATAATTATAGACTAATTTCTGTGCTGCTGCCTATAATCTCTAAAATTATTGAACGTGGAGTTCACAATCAAGTATATGAATATCTGCCTAATAATAACATTCTAAATCTATCCCAATCTGGTTTCAGAAAAAAACATTCGATAAACACAACCCTCTTGTATGTCTCAGATTACATTCTAAAAAATCATAACAATGGAAAAGCAACAGCTGCCATATTTTTAGATTTAAATAAAGCATTCGATACAGTAAATCATAAGCTGCTTCTAGAAAATTAAGGGAGATTGGAATCCGTGGTAATGTTCTAAAATGGTTCACTTCATATTTAAGTTGTAGATCCCAAGTTGGTTGTATAAATTCTATTCTCTCAGACTCTAAAAACATTAATATTGGAATACGCCAGGGTTCCATTTTAGGACCTTTACTGTTTATTATTTACGTAAATTCTCTTCCTAATGTTGTTTCTTGTAAAGTGTAATGTATGCCGATGATACCACTCTTTTATGTAGCTCCTCTCACCCTATCACACTCCAACATGAATTCGATTCAAACTTTAACAAAATATCTAAATGGTTAAAGTTTAATCAACTAACTCTCAATGTTAATAAAACTAAATTTATGATTTTTGGTACTACTCACATTCTTAATCATTTTAAAGATATTTCCCTTGTCCATAATGGGGATTGCATAGAAAGAGTGGAATCATTTAAATATTTGGGTGTAATTTTTGATTTTTGATCCTCAATTGACATGGAAGGATCATATAAGTCGTATTGCATCAAAAGTATCAAAACGAATTGGTGTCATACGTCGCATCAAATATTACTTGCCTTACACCAGACGCTTACTATGATTGCAAATGCCCTTGTGATGCCAGTTTTTGATTACTGTAGTTGCATTTGGTCGCATTGCAATATACAATATTTAAATACTCTGCAAATTTTATTAAATAGACTAGGTAGAGTTGTACTTTCTGTTAATATAATGACTCCTATAAATGAAATAATGAACACACTTAAATGGAAGATGAAAGATGGAGAAATCAGTTGCTCATAATTATTTATAAGTGTCTACTATGGGGTGCCATACGCAGCAAAAGTCCATGTTAAAATCAAAATGTAATTGCAAAATTCAATGTCTGATTTATCAAAACGTAGGCGTAAATTTTTCAAAATGTAGATCTATTTTCCCAAAATGAAGTTATAATTTTTGAAAACGTAGTTCAAATTTTCCAAAATGTAGTTCTAATTTCTTTAAAATGTAATTCAAATTCAAAACGTAGGTCTAACTTGATCAAACGCCCTCTCCAAATTCTATTCCAAAACGTAAATCAAAAACCAGCCTGGTTTGAAATGCATTTTACAACAACACTAGAACATGGACTTTTGCTGTTTATGGCACAGACACACAAAATGTAAATCAAAACTAGTCAGCCAAGCGTGACATGGGCCTGTTCCATTAATGATGGGGGAATCATTTTTCACTGCAGTCCAATGCCGTGAACAACGCTTCCCAGTGCGTCTGCTAATTTTTAATGGTCAGGGTACCGCGATCACGAGCCCTATGCTAAGCATTATAGGCAAGGCTTATGTGGGTTGGGATTTGCAACAAGGTCTTGGACTAGGCCTCTATACTATAGTAGGAGGTCTAGTCCTAGTCTAGGCCTATAATATACGGTAGTAAAATTCTGTATAAGTAGTCATATGATTACATTGTACCAAGATCGATATTAACGATCGCATTTATTTTTCATTGAAAATAAAAAGAAAACTTTATATAATTTAACTTAAGGATTTTAAAATATTCCAAACCTGTACGCTTAAAAAAAAAATAAAATAAATAAAGTTAACTTAAAACACAAACAACAGGATAGGATATAAAGTTTGAGAGAATAATTGTTATACTGTACTGTATTTCTGAAGTGCCATTCGTTTTGGGGTTGCTACAATCAAGAGTTACAATCGATCCAACAAAGGAAAGCACTACAGTATCTATTTCCTTACATTCCCAAAAGGAGGATGCTATTTAAAATTTGCTGGAGATTGAAAAATTAACTGTGTGATCAATCTGCAAAGCAGATTGATCACAAAATCAGAAGCATGATCTCAAACATCAGAACCCAGCTTTAATTGTTTAAAACTGTCTGGGCCCCATTGAATGAAACTACGGTATTATAGTTTATATTATATTTTCTTAAAGTACAATGTCGGGGCCGTCCGCGCCTGGGGCCCTGGCGCTCTACTATATTATAGGCCTAGACTAGGACCAGGCCTCCTACTATAGTATAGAGGCCTAGTCCAAGACCTTGTTGCAAATCCCAGCCCACATAAGCCTAGCCTATAATGCCTAGCATAGGGCAGGGCCGTAGGCAGGATTTTCGATGGGGAGGTGCGTTTTGCAACCGAAGTGGACATTACGATGGGCGACTGCCTAGGGGTCCCCGTGAGGGTGGGGCGAATCTTCTGGAAGCTCTGAAAAATTAGCATTTTGAGGGCCTTTTTTAATGGATTTCTAAAATCCATAATTTGTAATATCACGATTTAAAATTTCATTCATTTGAGTATTGTCTAGGGACCTACAGTAAAAGCAGGAGAAATAGAGGGTGGGGGTGAAGGGAGGAACTTGAGACAGAAGGTCAATACTACCTCAGCCCCACCATGACTGGGGCTGAGGTAAGAAAATTTATGATTATGGCACTTCAAAATGCCCTGAAAGGGGACTCTCAGACAAACTTCAATTATGATTTTTCTTTTTTCTCCATTTTCTTTTATAATTTTAGGGGGTTCTTCTCCCTTGAATCCACCACTGTGAAATTATAATTTTTCATGTTCTTTACATCTGTAGGCCTACAGATGACATGGATCAATCTGCAATCACTGGAGCTGATAATTTCAGCACATTATTAAAAATCAACGGGTAGAAGAGCGGGCAAAAAATGTAATGCATACTATAGCATTTCGCGATAATTAAGAACGATTTTAGTGAAATAATAGGTTTTAAAAGTAAACTTTTTGAAATTGGGTGGTCCAGGGGCAGAGGCCTGGAGGGGGTTTGTGAGAAA